AAAAAAAAAAAATCAAAAATGAAACATTCTTTAGGTGAAGGGACTGTTTTTTTTTTTGTTTAAAGATTTTTTTATTTATTTAAGAGAAAGAAAGAGCGCGTGTGTGTCAGGGAGGAGCAGAGGGAGAAGGAAAAGCAGACTCCACACTGAGCACAGAGCCCGATGCGGGGCTTGATTCCACAACCCTGAGATCATACCTGTGCTGAAATCAAGAGTCAGCTGCTTAACCAACTGAGCCACCCAGGCACCCTGTGTCTATTTCTAAAGACAGAATAAACGAATATTTAACCTCTACGAATAAAACTGAATTTTATACACATCTCAAAGATTCATGAGAAAGATGAAATTAAACTTTACCTGAAGAGATCATCAGCAAGAGACTCTTCTTTCGCATGTTGATTTTGCACCTGCCAAAATTAACATAATTTCAAAGATGTGTTCAATGATGAATATATGGTTAATCAAGTGCTATACTGGGTGGTCAGTCATCTCGGATATTTCCACATTGAGGAAATCACCAGGTCTATGAGTTCTTGCCTCTACAGTATTTCCCTCATTCACCAAATCCTCTCCATTTTCACTTCATGCCAAGATTACTGCAAAAGTTCTCTAATTAAACAACTTTCTCCAGCTAATCCCCTCTCCATCAAAAGCAACCAACATATGTATATACTGCTAGCTTGCTGAGTTTTTGAATATTTTTTCCTGAAGAAAGAAAGAAATATCACTGTTCTGAGGTCATAGGACTGATGAAGGGGCTGAGAGGGCAAAATCTATCTCACTTTCAACTAGAGCAACTCTGTGGGTGAAGTGGTTCTCTCCCCCAATGTCCCAAGTCAGGGCTCTGAAGCTGCTGCTTAACTACTTCACTGACAAAGTAATTTTAAACACAAACTCATCAAACTCCTAATGCACCTCTAAGAGTGAACCCCAGAAAAACTCCATGCTGGGTCCATCTTTCTAAAGTCTAGATCCTATCATATGCCATTCAAAACCCTTCAATGACTTTTTTTTTTTTTTTTACCTACCAAAGAAAACACAAACTCTTGAGTTTGACCCCCAACATGGGAAAGGCTCTTCATAACCTGGCTCCATTCTACATTCTCAATCACTTCTCACGCCCCTCTTCACAATCACTGTATGCCAGTTAAAACTGAATCACAAATCAACCAACCAGACTCACCTCTTAACAAATATCCTGTGTCCCTCTGCTTGTGTTCATGTTTTCCCCTCTGCCCGGAAAATGACCTCCTGTTTCTCCTCTTCCCATCTCTGACAATCTTTCAGTGTGCATTCATTTCAATAATAATTTAGTGCCTACTACGTGTCCAGGAACATGTTCTTCACTTCTTTACCAATGGTTTTTCAATTCTCTTCATTTAAAAATATAAAAATAACGTCTGCTATGAAGAACTCCCATAAAACTTCAGCTATACAACTCATAGATGCCTACTGATTTCCCTCTGTTATAATTCTGTATCTTTGCTAAAAGACCGTAAGTTCCTTGAATGTACATACTATTTATTTTTACTGTTAATAACTTACATTTGTGTATTTCCAGATACTATCTTAAAACTCCTTCTAAAAATATCTCATTTAATCTTCATATAACTTCATTATTACTATTAGACTATTATCCCAGTTTTGTTTTGTTTTTTAAAGATTTTATTATTTATTTATTTTGAGAGAGGGAGAGTGAGCACAAGCAGGGGGAACAGTAGAGGGAGGAGAAGCAGACTCTGCTGAGTAGGGAGCCCGACGCAGGGCTTGATCCCAGGACCCTGGGATCATGACCTGAGCCGAAGGCAGATGCTTAACGACTGAGCCACCCAGGCGCCCCCTATTATCCCAGTTTTAACCAACAAGGAAGCAAAGACTTAGGCTAAGTAACTTGCAGAAGATCAAAAGGTTGTCATATGGAAGAACTGGGATTTGACCAGGTCTTGCTGAGTACAAAGAGCACCACCAGGTCTTAACTAGGCTATTACACCGATTCTGAGTCTTTGGAAAGGGCTGAGAAGAATGACTTGCAGGGATTCTTCCAGAATGATTTTCTACTCATACGGTGAAATATCAAAATGACATTACATCTTTCCACATTTTCTAATAGGTATAGCAGAACATAAATGGTAAGACAATGATTTTCATAAAGCAGCTGTCAAAAGCAGTTGGTATTATTATTGTAATTATTTTGAAATGCTTCCCAGCAGGGGATGTTAATTTTAAAGTTATAGTAAAGAAAAATCAGTTTTTATGTGTCTTAGTAAAAACATTAAGTAAAATAGTTTTAAGAAATAGAAATCCTCACATTACTGGCATTTTTTAAGGGTTGGAGAGAGTTACATATCTAGTCTATCAAAATTCAAATCAGGTTGGATAGTGTCTCAAAGAGTTATTATGTTTAATGCACAAAATGAAAATATCCTAAATCTAAGGAAACTTCAGGAATGGATTTGGTGATTATGAAAACAGAGAGTCTGCAGCAGAAGTAGAGAAAGAAAAACTGAAAAAGAATGAAAGGCAAAAAATACTTAAGAAGAGCAGCTGGGACAAGCCTAGGGAAACAGGACATCAAGGCAGTAGCATACTTATATACAGGCACTGTAAGCGCATGAGAAAGTCAACTCTATTATATTAAAGAGTAAATCCAACATAGTGCACCTAAAATTGCTCTAGCAAAAAGAGAGATTTGGTGGAATAAATCTTAAACATGGGCTCTTTTCTAATTCTAATCAAATAAACAAAAGACAGAAAAAAGTCAGCAGCTACACTGTCATTCTCTCAACTCCTCTCTAGCCAAACACCAACAAAACCTAGGATAATCAAGAAGCCACAAACTTGAGAAAAGTAGCCGGCAGAGAACCAAAAGACTGCTGCAACATGTTCTTAACACTGCCCTAACCCATTAAACAAACTAAACCCAAACCTGAGAATGCTTAGTAATACTCCAAATTTGGGAAAAAGTAGCCTGAGCAGAAAAACACTGCTGGTAGACTACTGGAAAGGGACAAATGGCACAGGGAAGTGAGTGGTATTGACACTGACCAAAGGCACAGACCCCATGCAGCTCTGACAAATTAGGTAAACAACCTAAAATGACAGGTTGTTGTCTTCTGGGATAAGATGCACCCCCCTGGTACACATTTAATTCCAGTTCCAGGAAGGAGCAGCACATAGCTCCAGCTAAGCCCTTCCTTTCCTGGATTTAAAGTCTTCAGACAACAGAAATTAGATGGAACATGCAATTCACCTCTGATTGAGCATGTTGCCATATTAATGGAATGGAGCCACCAGGATAATTCTGTTCTCTACCAGAACACTAAGAGCTTGGGTAGGAGTAATTTTGACTACATTCACTTTTGCCTCACAAACTGTCTTTATTTTTTTTTAATTTTTTATTTAATTTCAACTTAGTTAACATATAGTGTATTGTTAGTTTCAGAGGTAGAGTTTAGTGATTCATCAGTTGCATGTAACACCCAGTGCTCACGACTTCCTCCTCAATGCCCATCACCCAATGACCCCATCCCCCCCCAACAGCTCCCCTCCAGCAACCCTCAGTTTGTGTCCTATAATTAAGTCTCTTCTGGTTTCCCTCCCTCTCTATTTATCTTATTTTTCCTTCCTTTCCCCTATGTTCATCTATTTTGTTTCTTAAATTCCACGAGTGAAATCATATGGTATGTGTCTTTCTCTGACTTATTCTGCTTAGCATAATACACTCTAGCTCCATCCACATCATTGCAAATGGCAAGATTTCATTCTTTAATGGCTGAGTAATATTCCATTATGTATATATACCATATCTTCTTTATCCATTCATCTGGGTTTTTTTTAAATTCAATTAGCCAACATATAATACATCATTAGTTTCAGATGTAGATTTCAATAATTAATCAGTTGCACAAGCTGTATTTAGATTGTAATCCCTGCACAAGATAGCATATGATGCTTCACAAAGCAAACAGAGTACTTGGACAGGGTATTTTATTCTAAACAGCTGCAAGATGAAAGAAAACTGCAAACTACTCCACATACTAAAGGGGAAAAAAAGGGCAGCAACTGGAACAGAACATGCAAGACAGATGAAGAACCTAGTCCGTAAGAAATAACCCAAGGATAAAAAAATGAAGTTACTAAGAACATGAAAGCAATAAAATAAAAACCAAAAAGTTAGATGACAAAAACCACAATGACAATGAAAAGGGAACAAATGCTAAGTAAACAAACTAAGACCTATTAATAACACCATTTCAGAATCAAATAAACTGGAAATACCTAGTAGTGACTGTTTACACTGTTATAAATGCTTTACAAGTAGCATTTTACTTAATCCTCACAAAAATTCTGTGAAACAGAGGTATAATTATTGTTCCCATTCTACACAGGAAGAAATGCATGCATAAGAAAGTAATTTGCCCAAGATCACATAGCTGATAAGGAACAGAATAAATTTGAATTTCTGACATAGTGAAAGAGCTCAGGAAAACCACAGTGAATGCAGAAGAAATGGATGTGGAAGGCAAAGGTGATCTAATAAAAGGATAGTAATGTCTTAAAGGTAGAGAACCCAACAAATATAAAAATGCTTTCCAAGATGTATTAGAAGAGTTCCTTGAAATAAAAAGACCTGCATCTGCAAATCAAAATAACATACTGTATTCCAAGAAAAATGAATGGAAAATTGATCAACACTGAGACATATTCTCATCGTTACTGACTTGCAAGCCTAAGAAGGAATGGGGCAGGCATGCAAGTCACCTTTTAAAAAGGGAGAAAAAGAAAGGACTGTCATAAGATGGTGGGGTGGGGTGGTGGGGGCGGGGGAACAAAGGAAGTACAAATAATTTCCTCACTGTTTACAGCAGTGACCCAAAAACCATATCTAAAATCAAAATAGGCAGTATGAAACAAATACTGATTCTAACCTGACAGTAGTTTTGCTTTGTTTTGGGTTTTTTTTGGTCATATATATCACCTTTGGTCTTAGAGGGAACTGAGTAAATAAAACACCTTAAGAAATATTTGCAAAAATTCAGCAATGCTTTCAGCTTTACTTCCTTCTATCAATCTCTCGCTCTCTCTTCCCACTCTGGCAATTACTCCTCTTCAATAAAGAGATATCTGGAATAATTCACTTCATATTTAAATGGGTAATTCCTGGACTTCAGGATTTTAACTTCGTCATTCTCTTGTGTAGTACCACAATTCTTTGAAATGCACATTTTAAATAAGGCCATTTATTCTTTAAAAAAGAAAGGAGGAAAGGATGTGACTTCCATTCTTTCATTTTTTGACACTAAATATCCTGAGTGACCTTACCAACCCTACTTTTTGGCAACCTTCCTAACAATTTTTTGATTAAAAAGCATTTTTAAACACAAATTGCTGAAGACTACATTAACCCACAATGAAGCAAAATAAAAACCCTGAGAAGTTAACAAGTACCATGGTCAGCTTTTGCCTTGCCCTGTGGGTTTCTGCAAAGCATAAAAAAAACTGGGCTCTGCTTTGATGTCTGTATGGGGGATGAGCAACATGAAAGAAAATCAAAGATGGGGAATCTAAGAAAAGACTCCAGCATTAAAGAGAGAAAGTGGAATAAACTGTACAACACAAAAAGAAGGCAAGAAAGAAACTTGCCTGCCTTTCAACCCTAACACAGGGTGAAGGAAAAAAAAAAACTCTTTTGAGTTTGTGACAAGCTGGCCTTCACTCAGGCTTCTAGTCCAAATATGTATTAACTACCTAGGTGATCCAAAAAAATCACAAGTGGAGGATAAAGTGGGTCTCATATTGGTAGAACAAGACTGGCAGACACAAATCTTTTCTAGAGGAAATAAACTTGAACTTAGGACTCAAGGAATTCCCACAGATCAAATTCCAAGGAAAATGAGCAGTTCACATTCAACTATCACAAAATATATACTTGGAAACAAGGCTCCATAAGAGAAGAGAAGCAGAAACATATCAACAAACACTTTAGGCAAAGAATACAAGAAGAGCTTAAAAATATCAGCAGGGAACAATAAGACCTAGAGCTGAATGAAACAGACAACCAGAAATGAAAAAATACAACAGGCTGAATGAAAACTCAGTGGATAGGTGGGAATACCAACCACAGAGTGGAAAGGAAAAGGACCAGACTGGAAGATAATCTGGAGAAGTTGCCAAAAAATACAATCCAGAGAAAAAAAGAGATGAAATATATAGAAAATAAGATAGAGAAGAAAGCGAAATTTGACTTCTGTCAAATTGGAGTTTAAGAAAGAGATAATATCCGTACCCGTAATTACCAAATGGCCCTACTTCAAATAGCCTGCTAAGAGGACCTATCTGGAGCCCACCTTTGGGTTCCAGGAGCACTAGATAATCAGGCAATATAAAGGCTAAGAAGAAAACTGTCTAACCTTGGAAGAGACCTCTGGTTATCTCTCAATTCAATAGTCACGTGTTTCTGAAATCTTCCATCCAGTAACTTCCTCTAGAGCAAAAAGTTGCCACTTTATTGAATTTTATTAAATTCTCCAGTTAAAAATAAGTAAGGGGTAGAAAGAATTATGAATCAGGTATATGGTTGTTTTACATAATATCCACTAGACTCAAAATACCCAGGAAGGAAGTAAAAAAAAGAGCAGCATATTTTCATAATCTGACCTGTGAGTTCTCATTACAGAGTATATAAATATATATAGTTGATACATGTAAACAATGAATTCTTGAAAATCACAGTCTAACAGAGAGCTGTAAAGCAGTTCACATCTTCCCAGAAGAACAATGTTATAAGTGAGGTTTGGTTTCCTGAGACTTAGGCAACATATTACTTATAGATATGATCAAAGACATGCCATAAAGTATGTAAAATTATAAAACTCTAAAGCAATTTCAAGTGTCAAAATTATGCTGCTGGTCCTAATCTAGGATTTAAAACAATATGAACTGATTATGTAAGTATCCTACTGTGAAAGTACATAGAAAAGCGTACTCTGACATAACACATATTTGATCAGAAATCTGTATATGTTTGAACATATAAATACAAATGAAATGATAAAATGACTGGGATTTGCTTTAAAATACTCCAGGGGAGGGGCGCCTGGGTGGCTCAGTTGGTTAAGCGACTGCCTTCGGCTCAGGTCACGATCCTGGAGTCCCAGGATCGAGTCCCGCATCGGGCTCCCTGCTCGGCAGGGAGTCTGCTTCTCCCTCTGACCCTCCTCCCTCTCATGCTCTCTCTCATTGTCTCTCTCGCAAATAAAATCTTAAAAAAATAAATAAATAAAAATAAAATAAAATACTCCAGGGGAAAAAAAAAAAGTTGGGAAAGAGAAGAGATGAAGCAAGATGTGCAAATACTGGTATTTGTTGAAGCTGTGTTCTGGGTTTGTTTCACGCTCCCTTTATTTTGTGTATGTTTGAAAAGTTCTCATAATAAAAAATTTAAGACTTTGAACTACACAGAAAGACTCTGGGGAAAAATGAGATCAGTAACAACTGCCCATGGGAGGAAGCATTAAGGCGAGTTTCCCACAGCAAGCAGTTGTCAATAGCATAACTGACCTAAGACTCCCTCCCTCACCTTCAAGATGGTGTGCTCATGCATCATTAAACCAAAGTATAAAAGTATACCACAGAGAATGAAGTCAAACTCTAACCCTATAACACCTATGAAAATTAACTCAAAATCAATTCAAGATCTACATATAAGAGCTAAAACTATAAAACTCTTAGAAGAAAAAAGGGAAAAACTTTCTGACACTGGATCAGGCAGATTTTTTGGATATGAGGCCAAAAGCACAGGTATCAACAACAAAACTGATAAACTGAACTACATCAAAATTTTAAATTCCTGTGCATCAAAATACACAAACAACAGAGTGAAAGGCAACCCAGAGAAAGGGAGAAAAAATGTGCAAATCATACATCTGATGAGGGACTATTATCCAGACTACATAAAGAACACCTCTCATTCAACAACAAAAAATAAACAATCTGATTAATAATGGGAAGAGATTTTTGAATAGATATTTCTCCAGAAAAGATATACAAATGGCCAACAAGCATATGAGAAGATGCATAACCTCACTAATCGTTAGGAAAGTGCAAATCAAAACCACAGTAACGTTCAGACCAGTTAGATGCCCATTATCAAAAACAAGAGAATAACAAGTGTTGGAGAGGATATGGAGAAACTGGAACTCTTGTGCACTATCAGTGGGAATGTAAAATGGTGCAGTTACTTTGGAAAACAGTATGGCAGTTCTTTAAAACGTTAAACATAGGGGAAAAAAGATATAATAGGAAAAGGGGTAATAACTCAATAAAATAATGACTGAGAAATTTTCAGAACCACTGAAAGATAATTTCCAGATCTAAAATCCAGTACATTCATATATTATGTAACTGGTATTATTTGCAATAACACCCATATGACTGTACAACCTTCTAATTTTAATTGTTATCCTTTAGCTTTCTTTTACAAATTTTTGTAGGTTAAGTCTCTTTTCTCCCCTTTACATTAGGATATAAACTTAATTCGTTTTTTGTTTTTTAAAGATTTTATTTATTTGACAGAGAGAGACACAACAAGAGAGGGAACACAAGCAGGGGGAGTGGGAGAGGGAGAAGCAGGCTTCCCGCGGAGCAGGGAGCCCGATGTGGGGCTCAATCCGAGGACCCTGGGATCATGACCTGAGCC